AAAACGTTTATTCCAAACCTCAAACTTGGGTAATTAAACCTTGTTAGTATTAACAAAGTTATAAAAAAAGGTTATGAGTTGTACATTAGCACATTAACGAACAGAACAGAGCGATATACACAAGAAATATTAGTCAAGCATACATTTATAACTAATATTACGAGAAAAATAAAGAGAGAAGTAAATAAGGAACAAAGCTCAAGAGCAGGAAAAAAATAGAACTGATCACTTTACACTTCAAGACTCCCTTATATAGTGTTTCAAACGATTGTCATCTGTCGAGCGTATACCGATGTTTACGGCCTAAGTCGGCTAATCCGTTAGCAATTCTATGACAAATCCAGGTCCATCTGGAGATTTATCACATATTGTCAACCGCTCCAGATTGGTGCCGTAGCTGACCTTGGGGTCAGTCATGAATTATTGCTTCGATTAATCTGTATATTCTGGCCGTTATGAATTCGTATGGATTTGAAAGCTGTTACTGTAAACAATAGTTTTCAATGATAAATGTTGTTTACAGTTGAGTTTATCCTTCTCTGTCCTGATCGTTAACCATCTGGGTGACCTTACTATTTTTCCTCACTATCTCTTTTCTAAACTCGCCTTTTAGCAACAGTAAGCGTCTGAAAGGTTAGTGTGCGAGAATACCGTTCCTCCTCCTAACGCAGCAAAGATGTCCTCCTGATTGGGCAGAGGGAACTGATGCAGTTCTAAAGCTTTGTTTAAGCCTGTGGGAAAATCTGCACATAATCTTAACGTACCGCTGCCTTTTTTGAACACTACAATTGGTGCAGCCCAATGTGAGTACGTAATTGGAGATAAAATACCCAATCGCACTAATTGATTCAATTCTGCTTCGACTGCTGCTTGAATTGCATATGGTACCGGTCTTTTCTTCCGAAAAACTAGAACGTCTGTTTTCAATTTCAGATGGGCTTGAACTTGCGTACAACAACCTAATCCGTCCGTAAAGACTTGAGGGAATTCCGAAAACAATTTATTTAAAGTTGCATCAGACACAATAGCATTACAAATAAAACTTAACAAAATTTCGTCTAATTTAAGTTGGAATATTAAATCTCTCCCTAATACACTGCCAACTGCAACTTCGGACACTCGAATTGTAGAAATCACCAACAGCCCATTGTACCGAATTAACACGCAGGCCTCTCCTAAAAAAGCAAGTGAATCGCCTGAACAACTGTATGCTTGAATTGTCACTGAAGAAAATTTGGGAGATCCAATTTCTTCCCATGCCCTTTTGCTAAGAATCGTAAAGGGTAATTCTGTATCCATTTGTACTGTTATCATATGTGCATCAGTTTATAAAGTAACAAAAAATAGGCCTGTCTTAGGATTTTCCAAAACTTGATTTACTTGTTTTTTACTTGTTTTCTGCCTTGACGCACCACATGCTGGGTTTGACTTATTTTGAGGACTTGCTGCAGTATGTGGACTATTATTATTCGATTTGAACTTCTGTCCTCTTGCTGTAGCACTTCTTGCTCTACAGACTTTTGCAATATGACCCTTCCGATGACAATTATAACACTCAGCCTCCCTAAATTTGCAGTTTTGCCTTTTATGACTGCCGCCACAAGTCAAACAAGGTCCATATTGTGCCACGGTTGCTATTTGCGGCAAGGAAGTTGTATTGTTCGATGATTGTGCAGTGGTGATTTGTGTAGATTGAATAAAACCCGAGGCTTTGATACGAGTTGCCTCCGTAGTGATCTGCTCCTTTTTTTGCGCTATGGCCAACGCTTGCTCCAACGTGCAATTTTCTATCTCAAGAAATTTCTCACGTAGCTGTGGGTCATTAATACCCACAGTGAATACCAAGGCAAGAGCAGGCACGTAAAAATCACCTAATTCACAAAACGCTGCTTTCTCTCTAATCAACGTAGCAAATTCCAGATAACTTTTTGCCTCCTGTTTAAGATGAAAAAAATGGTATCTTTCAGAAAAAAGAAGCGTTTTAGTCCCATACATCTCTGTTACTCTTAACTTCAAATTTTTATACAACAATGATGTTATCTCCTGAGGCTTCACAAATGCCGCCAACGCTCGATAAACAACGGAAGACAGGGAATTTAATAAGTAGAATTCCTTATGATCCTCGTCTATCAGTGAAATACTAACAAAAAAGTCAAACCTGGCTAACCACGAAGTAATATCATCCATCGACCGTTGGATCAAACCCTTCTGGTGGTTATATTATAATAATTACACAATATGAGGTCGCAGTCCCGTTCCAGCCAATCTCATCCTAATCGACACTGTTGTATCGTTCACTTAGCTGCTGACTATATGTTAGACAAAAATGATTAATACAAAGCCAAAATGACGAAGAGAGAACAATGATCTACAGCATTTGATCTAGAGAACCCTCGCAGTACTATAGACAGAGTAATATAACTACATAATACAACAAATGCTTTCTCCAACAATACGACAGCATCCTGCAACAACAACTTGAGGATGGAATCATCATGCGTGCACCGTCCCAACCAGTTTCCAAAGTCTACTTCCTCCTCCATCAATCGGTGATTACACCATCAAAGCAGACTACCAAACTTCGCATTGTCTTCGATGCTGGCGCCAAAACTAATAAAGGGTGTAGCCTGAACGAGGCTTTATATCGTGGACCGATTCTACTCCCACAACTCTGTGCCATCCTACTCCGAGCCCTGACTCAGAACAATATCTTACTTGCTGATGTAGAGAAGGCTTTCATGCAAGTCGGCCTGCACCCAAACGACCGCGATGTAACACGTTTCTTATGAGTCCAAAATCTGGATAAGCCACAAACACCTGAAAATATTATCGTGTACAGGTTTGCTCGTGTCCCATTTAAAGTGGTTAGTAGCCCCTTTTTACTGGCAGCAGTTATTCGACACCATTTGCAACACCAACAATCCCGGTTAGCTCATTCTATTTTACAAAACCTTTACGTCGACAACGTTCTTATTGGAACCGAGGACTCTGTGTCAACGAAACGATCATACGCAAAAGCAAAACGAATCTTCGCAGATGCGTTTATGAGATTGCGTAAATTCTCCACAAACAATCAAACCATTTTTCAAAAGATGCTCCCAAGTGACCGCTGTAGCGACTCCAAACTATCTGTGTTGGGCCTCCGTTGCAATCCAGTCGTGGATTTATTTCAACTCCAAATCAAAGGTATAACTTCTAAAGTTTTGACCAAAAGAGCCATACTCAGTTTCATATCAACGCAGTACGACTCATTGGGGCTAATTGCTCCAGCGCTACTACCGTGGAAGGTACTATGCCAAAAATTATAGATTGCCAAAGCGGTATGGGATGAGGAAATCCCAGCAGTCATTCAAACCAAAGTTCAGCACCTACTCCAAACATGGCAACCAGAAATTATTGACCTTCCCAGAAAAGCAATGGACAGTATAACAGCACAGACCCACTTGTTTGTAGACGCTTCCATACTAGGCTATGCGGCGGTGATTTACGCAAGAAGCCATCAGCATAATCAAATTCAAACGAACATAATCTTGTCCAAACAACGCCTCATGCCGATCAAACGGCTAACAATAACGAAAGCCAAGTTAATGGCAGCACTAATTGGAGCTCGAGCTCTCACCTTTGTTCGACAAGAGCTCGCCATTCCACTCTCACACTGTTTTGCCTGGTCAGATTCCAAGTGCGTCTTATCTTGGCTGGCAACTAAAAAATTAGACGCTTTACCAAGGTTCGTGAAAAACAGAGTTTCGGAAATCCAGAAACATAAATATTACTTCCGTTATGTTCCTTCCGAGAGCAATCCA